ATTATAATTCATTTTTACTTTATTCTCATTTTATCAATTCATTATCAACCACATAACTTTATTGTTCTTAAAAATTGCACCACTTTCCTTTGTTCTAACTAGATTCTCACTTGTGCGATGCACGGAATTTTTTTAATGAGAAATTAAGTATCATGAATTATTATTTGTTATTTTTGTAAATACTAATACATGATATCTTTGAAACAATTGCAGTGTGCAAGTACATTGAATGAAAGTGCAATAATTTTTTCGTCTCGAAAAAATTCGTAAAAATTGACTTTTCTCGATCAGTGACAATCAATTTTGTCTATTGATGTTTTTAATGCGAAATTATTTTGAATATGAAAATTATTTCAAAAGATTTCTTATTAAACGTATTTTCATAAAAGTATAAAATTTATAAATTATATATGAATATAATAATTAAAATTATTATCCAAAGTAAAATAGTTAAGTATATGTGTCACTCATATCTTGTTGTATGTTCTTCGGTTTTAAGTGTATTATATCTTATTGGAGAGATCTTTTACGCTAAAAATCCTCTATTTATCCTGAGCTATAATTGATCAAGAAAAATAAGTATGGCAAATCTTTTCAGAACGGAGGTAGTAAATATTAAGAATTTATAAATTGAAAATGTCAAATCATAATGTTGATAGTAAAAGGACATCAGTCAATATTACAATCAAAATATATTATCATAAATACTTGTAGTTGTTAAACTAATTTGTAATATCGTATATAATACATTGTAGTAATTAGTTTTATTCATAGAATGAAAATATAGCTCCTTTTTGGAATTCTACAATTTTTTCTTCTGCTTACTTTTTTTTGTTTAATATTTTATTTTCGTATTGGGAAGCTTAAATATAACTATTGACATCTTATAAAATATCAATCTCAGTTACATGTTTTTTAGGAAAACCATTCTAAAACACCTTAAATTGATTTTTTCGTTCATTTTATTTATTTTATTTCCAAATTTGACAACATATTGACAAAACAAATCATATGTTATTCGTGCCTCAATTAATCAATAGATTCGTTTGATATTCTCTATTTATAAGGATAACATTTAAAATAAGACATCACAATTATTATTTGAGATAAATATGATGGCTGAAAGTTGAAAATGATGATTTTTTAAGAACGACATCAAGGCTAATTAAGTCATCTTACAATGTAATTATTATTTTGAAATTACATATTTAAATGTATGTATTATTACTTTCAGATGTGATTATTAGCCTTGAAAGTAATAAAAAAGTCACCATGTAAAATTATTTTATTAAATGTAATTATGTTGAACGTATAGATTTAAAGAGGACAATTCATATGCATATGGATGTATAGGAACCTCCGTGCGGACAAAGCCGTCAGAGGGTCTTTCTGATGGAAGTTTTTGATGATTTTTTTGAGCAACTTCTTTTTCAAATCTAGTTTATGCCAACTAAATTTCAGCTTAAAAATCTACTTTCTGAAGGCAGTTAAATAAATTTAAAAAACAACTACTCCCTCCGTCCCGGAAAATTGTTCCCGGTTTCCTTTTTGGGCCGTCCCAAAAAATTGTTCCACTTTCCCCTTTTGGAAAGTTTTTTGTGGCTACAATTCATTTACCTTTTTCTTACTCAACCACAACCATACATTTCCACTTTATTCCCACTTTCTTAAACTTCGTTCCAAGTCAATGCGGGAACAATTTTCCGGGACGGAGGGAGTATGCTAATGTATACATATAAAAGTACAATTTTTTTCAATAATTTATTTAACTGACTTTCCGATGAAATTTTAAGTTGAAATTTGGTGGGCATAAACTAGACTTGATGAAGAACATGCTCAAAACATTTCATCAACAAATTTCACCGAGAAGGCGCTCTGACAACCATGTCCACACGAAAATTCCTATACATCCATATGTATAGGAACGATACTCTGGCTTTAGATAGTCAGAAATTTTCAAGGTATATTAAAATAAGTCACCATAATTTACTTAAAAATTTAGTTTAAGAAATTTCACCTAAGGGCTTGTTTGCAATCACTTAAGAAAAGTGATTTTGGCTTTTTTTTTTAAGAAAAAAGCACTTATTTTACCAAACACTACCAACTTTTACTTTCTCGGCTTCCGTGTAGAATCTATTTTTTACTTTTTCTATTACACAAAAAGCACTTATTTTACCAAACACTACCAACTTTCACTACTAATCACTTTTTCACAAAAAGTGCTTTTATTTAAGCACAAGTAGTTGCAAACAAAGCCTTATCTTCGAATCTTCGATAGCCTTGACCGGCCAATGCCCTCAAAATTTGAAATGCACAATCTTTACTTTTTTAAATGTAATTATTTTTATGTACATATATTATCACACATTTCATTTGAAAGGAAAATACTATCCTCCGTTTCTTTTTAATCGTAACATGTTGAATTTTACATTATTCACAGGCTCTACTTTGATTAAATTTTGCGCTATTTTTTTTATGAAAATTATTTTTTAAAAAAGATATTGTTCAATTCATCTCATTACAAAGTTTCAAAATCCGATTTTTAAATTTTTTTACTAATAGAGATTAAGATATAATTACGGTCAAAGACGTGCGTTGGCAAATGTGAAATGTTGACCGTTGCAACTAAAAAAGAACGGAGGAATTGTTAAAAAAAACTATTTTGGAAAATCGAAGTGTAATGAGAATGTGAAGAGCCTGGAACAATCAAAAGAATTATTTAATCATATTTAGATGGTTAATATTCTAGCATTTAACCTAATCAGACCAAAATAACAGAACTCTCTCTTCTCTCTAGAGAGAGAGGAACCATAGCGACCGTCTCGCCTCTTTGTAAGGGTTGAGATTTTCCACTGTCCCCTGTCAATATGAGATTGAAGCGGCAGATTATACTGATTTTAAGTGTTCTAACGCTTGGGATTGCAACTACGTTAGAGGAGATAGCGTTGGTGGATGAACGAGGTGCGGCTGAGAGGTTGTATCGAGGCAGGATCGTGAAACATTGGTCGGCCTTCCAACGGTGGTAGAGTTGGTATTCACCCATATTTCTATTTTAGTCCGGGTAGATTTGGTTTGAATGTTTGAATTTTTGGAATTCTTTTGCTAGACGGAGTTTTGATTCCAGTCCTTTTAGGCCTAAAGTTACTCGTTTCAGATTTAGCGCGTCATGTTGCATTGTATGAGGTGGCTGACTCTATGTCTACTCCTAAGGTTCACAGTTGGATCTGTAAATTATGTCTCAAGGTTGTCTTCTATGTGTTCTCAATTTTAATATAATGACCACTCTTTTATGATAAATAAAAAATCTTCTCGGGACATTCCCAAGTATTGGTGGACTCGGGCCAGTTCGGGCCCGGCCGGGCCTCGGGCCAGAAAAGTTGGGCCCAAGCCCGAACCGCCGGTGGGCGGTTCCGGGCCAAACCGGGCCGGGCCGAGCCTAACCGGTTTTAATTTTTTTTTTTGGCTCTTCTATTTAACCCCCAACCCCTCCCCCTCAACCCCAAACCACCCCAAACCACCTCAAATGGCCCAAAATACCTAATCCAACCCAAAACTTAAAAAAATTCAAAAAAAAAAAAATTAAAAACCGGCCCGAACCGGCCGGGCCGGTTCACAAAAAACTGGGCCCGAGCCCGAACCGCCCAGCAGCCGGGCCGGGCCGAACCGAACCGGTGGACCCACCGGGCCCCTGGCCGGGCCGGCCCAAACAGTAACCGGTCCGGGCCGCCCGGCCCGAGTCCACCACTATTCCCAAGCTTGCTACACGTAGCACGTATCTAGCAGACTAGCAGCGAGCACAGCCGCAGCTAGGGGTGGACCGGTTCCGGTTCGGGCCCAGTTCGGGCCTGGGACCGGCCGGGCCTCGGTTCAGAAAAATGAGGCCCGAGCTCGAACAGGTGGTGGGCGTTTCCGGGTCCGGTTCCGGGCCGGGCCAGGCCACCCGGATTTTGATTTTTTTTTCTTCTTCTTCTTCTCTTACTTAACTCCCTACCCCTCCCCCTCCACCCCAAACCACCTCAAATGGCCCAAAATACCTAATCCAACCCAAAACTTAAAAAAATTTAAAAAATAAATAAATAAATTCCGGCCCGGCCGGGCCGGTTCACTAAACTGGAGGCCCGGGCCCGATCCGCTATACCACCGGGCCGGGTGGCCCGAACCGGGCACAAAACGGTTCACCGGGCCGGTCCGGGCCCGCACAGTAGCGGGCCGGTCCGGTTCCGGGCCGGTTGGCCCGGCCCGAGTCCATCCATAGCCGCAGCTGGGCTGCTATTTTCTCTCCTCCCCTCTTTTATTGATTGCCCTTTCTTGTTCTCTTCTTTGGTTGGCCGCCAGCAGCAATGTTCATATTTTTGCTGATCACATTTTGTTTCTTTTTTCTCTCTTCTATTGTAACACAACTTAGAACATTTTGCAAACAAAAGCCCTCAGAACAGCTATAGAAGCTCTTGTTTGTGTCTATATAGGCAAGATTGCCGAATGCTCCGACCAGAATGAGCAGCCTCTACAGCTGCTCTAAAGACCCATACTAAATGGAGTTATAGATACGATGACAAATGACAATACTTGCCACTAGAGAGATTTTGTGCTTTAGTACAAGGATATTGAAGCAATTTTGTAATGTTGTCCATTGCGTACATCTTGCCCCCCTTACCCCAACGTAGGTAGGAGCTTTTGCAACACTGGGGTAATGTTGTTATTGTTATCGAACGAAGCAATTTTGTGTTGTACAAGCATCACAATCTGAGTCTTTGCAAAGGTCAAATGTAAACTTTGGAAAACAATACCAAAAGTTGGTGTAGAACTAATAGACATCCGAGTAATGATTCCTAACAACAACATTACACCAATGCCGTGAAGGCTCTCAACTACGGTGGGGTAGGGGATCGGATATACACAGCCTTACCCCGTACAAAAGCACAATGAAACTGATTAAAAAAAACAATGATTCTTAACATTAGCAAATAATTCAAAAGCAATGAAGCAAAAAGCATATTGTTCTTCCCAACAATACTATAAGTAAGAATTACATACTTTTTTAATATTAGGTATATAAAATTAATATGCTACAATATTGATTTTCAACAAGTGTTGGAAGATAATCACCTTAGTGCTCAACAACAAAGAAGAAAAGGTTTTTAACTGAAGAAGTAAATGCAATTTCTGCATTAACTACAAATATAGCATATTTGCATTTACTGTTACGCCCAAGCTAAGTTGGAATAACTTTGAGTTAGTGTATACATGGTTGCAACTTGTAACAAAGATGTCCATTAGTTCTCATCTACCTTCTGGATTGGTCAGCCATGTTACAAACTATTTCTTCAGTGGATTAACTGCACCTACCCCCATGTTACAATTACCAAATGACCCTCAAGGTTTTTGACAATCAGTCAATCACATATACCCCCCTTACCATTCAGGATTCTCGGAAAATGTCCCTAAAATTGTACTCCATAGCATACAATGATATCAACAACAACTACATGTCTGTTGCGGGAAATCTTCACCGGATCAGTCTCTCTACTTGAAAAGAAATATGTCTATGTACATCTCACCATCTCTGTTGAGTTAGATATAGCGGGACTGTTTGGCTTGCCGGGTTTAAAAAGAGTTGTGTAGAGTTATGTGTCTTGAGATTGAGGAAGTATACCCTTCAATTTTGTTTTGGGAAAGTGAAACACAAAATTCTAAAATTAGAACAACTATGCCCTTCTGTCCAAATAGTGGAGGCATGGAAGGTATATTTGTTCAAACTTTAAAATGTAGTGTTTAATTGTTCCAAACATTGAGGAATTTATATGTTCTCTAACAATGTGATAAAATCTTTAATGTTCAAAAACCTTGAGGGTCATTTGGTAGTCTCTAATCAAACCTCAGGAGGCAGACGTGATTAACCCCTTTTTAATATACCTGTTCTACAGTACGGGCAGTCACCACAAGTCCGGACCCAGGGAATCAAGCAGCCATTATGGAATCTATGCCCACACGGCAAATGAAACAGCTCCTCTCCATCCAAGAAAGTCTCCAAACAAATGCTACAGTCTGGAAGAACACTGTCATCCAAGTTGAAAATTTCAACTCGCAGAGATTCCATTGACTCCTGGGTCAGCCCTGGCGGTCTCTTGATCTTGCCTATCTGGATTAGGTCGGTGGCTATGCCTGTTCTTGCTACCTGGTCCCTTTCACCGGCAAGTCTGAAGTCATCTTCTATTGTCAAGTTTCTACTATGGCTGTTTGTTGACACCGTGTTACTATTGCACCTAACATGAAATAGTAACAGAACATCAATCACACATCCTTTTCAATGGGAGCAGAATCACAGAATGAACTTTTAATTAGTAAAATCGTCCGCTAAAATACTTCATACAAAAAGAAGTGCACAAAGTTAAAGTAGCATCTCTTTGTCTCAAAAAGAACTTCCTGATTTGACCTACACACATTTATGTAGGATAAAATTTTGTTTTGACTTTTTACGGGATTCTTTTTATAGAAACGGAAACTCCATTTTGAGACATCTATAAAAGGAAAGAGGAATTTCTTTTCAGGGCGAGGGAGTATATATTACCTTCCTAATATCCTAAAATTGGTGGTAGGGTGGGGCCGTGGGGGCTTAGATAGATAAATTTAAGTCAGTTGTGGTGGGTATACTCCGTAGTTATTACATGTAAAACAGTATACTGAACTATTTTTCAACCAGTAGGGCACATACTTGATACCCCCACCATTATCCCAGTGTGGGGCCTGTGGAAACGACACTTTTTGCAACTAATCACTTGGTACACCTATAAAACTGCTAAGTACAATTCGAGCATAACATATTTGAATCAGGGAATAGTATACCGATACTCTTAAACCTTATGCTAGAGAACAAATACGCCCTCAACTTTCATTTGGAATAATTAAACACAAGACTTTTAAACTTAGAATAAAAATACCCTTATACTCCATGTATAAATAAATATTTGAGGGGTGTATATGTTTTCAGGTATATACCCAAAGGGTGTATATTTTTTCCAAATGTACAATGTATGTAATTTTTCCAAAAAAATGGAAGCATATACGGAGTATTTGTTTTCTAATACTCTCTTCATCCCATAAAATTCTTCTCTGTTACCTTTTTAGAATGTCCCAAAATAATCTTCTTATTTACCTTTTTATTACTCAACCACTACCAAAAATTCCAATTTATTCCAGCTTTCTTAAACTCCGATTTAAGTCAAAAAAAATTATGGGACTGGTAGAGTACTTCATTTTCACATTTGCTAACACACAATTTTGACCGTTAATATATTTAATTCTCTATAAGTAAAAAATTTAAAATCAAATTTTGAAAATTGTATTGAGACAATTCAACAATATTTATAAAAAAAAAAAAATACATTAGTAAATAAAATGTAGTAAAAATAGAGCATGTGTATAGATTAAAATTCAAAACGTTGCAATTAATAAGGATCGGAAGTAATGTATAATTCAAGGGTATATTATTTTCTTATCTCTTTAACAATTAACTTAATTAATCTCCAAGACTCCAACTATCGTCAAATTCAAAAAATATATCACTCTATGTTTTATCAAAAAAGAGTCAAACATAATCTTCTTCTACAACTATACTTTCAGTGGACTAGTAGTAATATTTTAGGACAAATCCTTATTTTAATTCAATACTTTTTCCCATTTCTTTCTGGTAATTAATCAACTTATAGTGCAAAACATCTGAAATACAACTAGAAAGATAAAAGTGTCACACACAAGTGGATAAAAGTGTCAAACACTCGAAACAACAGTACAGAAAGAACTCAAAGTATTCATAATAAAAAGTTAGTTGAACTAAAGAACAAGTATTAATGCTTAATTTACTTTAACAACTTTTATCATAAACAAATTGTACCAGCTGGTCAATTTATAAGTAACAATGCTTAAATTACTGCAACATATTTTATCATTAAAATATTGTACCAGCTGGTTAATTTAAAACTTATATTAATTTCTGTTTTTTAGATTTTGTTATAAGAAATTCATTTGCAGATTAATCTGTAAGATTACATATTCATTATTTGTTTAATTTCTTGTTAAAATCATTAAGAAAAATATAAATAAATAATTTTTAAATATTACTCCGTATTTAATTAAATACAGGTATATAGAAAGTACTAATATTGATATATATTTAGTTTTGAAAAATAAAACATCGCGGAGAAGTATAATTGTTAAAAACACTAAAAGTGTGAAATTTAAGTCTTTTTTAAGATAAAGAATAAGATATATTTGTGAATTTTGATCATAGTTGGATATATATTAAGCTAGTAATACAATATATTTTCATTCATGTACACACAAATAAGAAGATTACACCCAGTAGTCCAGTACACATGAGGAGAAAATGACAAAATACAGAGAATGTAGGACAGTTATAGAAGATTCACTGTGACGGCAAGCTATAAACAGAAAAGCAAATGGAACCAACCTGTTTCCAGATAGAGAAACGCCTCTTAACCTTTGAAGAAGCCTTTCCCTTGCAAGTAGGACAGGTCCAGGAAGCCCACCATTCCTATTAGTTATAAAACTATTGTGTATACTGATTTCATTTTCTAAGGTGCTAGCAGTTCCAGGAGAAGCTAGACCGGTCAGAGATTCAATGCCAGCTGGTACATGCTCCTAACAAATATTTGAATCAGATACTTTTAGTTAACTAATAAAACTTAGAGAAGATTGTATTAAAAAACAGAGTAATATAAAGTACCATACATTTTGGCCTTGTGCAATTCATTGCCAATGATCCTACAAGCATTTATATGTTTAGGGTGGGTTTGGTGGGAAAAAGTAGTGAAGAGGGATGTGAGAGAGAAAGTTGTATCTCAGTTGCACATGGATTAGGATACTTACGGGTTTTTAGGCAAAAAATAATTGGAAGAAAACGTAAGGAAGAATTTTGTCAAGAAACTCTCATTTCCTACTAATACAAATAAGTTTCTATCATACTCCGTATTTAGTTATCATTTACATAACATTTGACTTCTCGAGAGATGTAATTGTATTTTCAGATATATCAGGGATCATTGGGCATTTTGACCAAGCTTCGTGGAGGTTGACTTAATTAACTCAAATCTACTCATATACAATGCATTAGACATAAATACTGAGGTAAACGAAATAACACAGCATAAATGCAAGAAAACAAAAACTGGCAAGGTATAGAAGATATGATAAGGAAAATTATTGTCATGTGACTAAAACATATACATCATAGATTTTGTTACTAGTGTGAAACAATAAATACCTTGAAATCTTGAATGACAATATGCAAAGAACCTAAGAGTCATCAAAGAAAGATACTGCCAAGTTGTCCTTTAAGGTATCTCCTTTCTTCATTTGGGAGTTTCATGTTTTTTACTCAATATTACATCCCAAATTAAAACCCAAACTAAAGTGGCATGGCCACAGGAAACAAATAATCACCAGCTGAGTGGATCATTCTCCATGGTAATTGATATCCTCTCTACTAAATGTTGTGCCACTCGTTTTGATTGGTTGAAATCATGTCAACTTTATATTGTACTCCATCCGTCCCATTTAAAGGTTCTCATACACTATTCTCCAGTCAACGTGCATTGTTCTTAATCTTTTACTTTATATGTCGAAAGTTTATGAAATTTAAATTTTTTTTGCAGGTTTTGTAGCGGTTTTAATCTAGTTTCTGAATATGTAAATTTTATTTACTAAAAGTAATTCTATTAATGGCAGGGATATGTAAAAACATCGTAAATCGTGTGAGAACCTTAAAGTGGGACGGAGGGTGTATTAATTAATTAATACATAGAAATAAACCATTCAATATAAGTGGTACACAGGTGATGTGGGAAATGTGGTAAAAAAGATTTGAACTTTTTTCAAAGAGTTCAAGGGTTTATCTTTATAAATTCTAATTTTTTCCTAGTAACCTAGAGGATGACCTCAAAAATACAAAGAGACAGAGTACATGATTGTGCTAATGTGCTCCATATATTTTCTTATACTGTATACTACTTGATAAGTTGATAAAATATTGTATTACAATAACATCTTCAAAAGATTGTCTTTTTCGGTTTTGCAATAACACCAGACTCACAGGGCACCAGGTTGTAGAGAGCAGCAGATAGGTGGTGTCATTGTCCGTGCAGCAGGAGTATATAATGGATGTCCTTATTTGTGATTGTGTAACAACCAAATTGAAGCATTTGAGGTGAGTTTTTTTATTTATATATTTGCTCACATAGTACACATACTACTCTTACAGTCTTAAGGTGTTATTATTTCGCATAAAAATAGTCACCTGATAATTATTCCGTATTAAATCATGTATAGTAACTACAGAACTACAGAAGGAAGAAAAGTCTAAAATCAAAAGCCTTACCTGAACAGAGGAACGACGGAGTGGAATTCTAGACCGGGGAAGAGGATCATGGTCGACCAAATCGAGTCTACCAGCTCGGCGAGTTCCGTTGCTGCTACGCTCGCGGCGGTTGTGACGGTGACTACTGACCTGGTTATGAAGACATATGCGGTCGAAGGCAGAATCTAATTCGGAGCTGCCCCGACCCAGACGAGTCCTCCTGTTGTAGAATAGCTCCGAAGCGCTCGTCATGCAACGAAGAAAACTAGATTTTCACTGTGTTTCTGCACAAATTATCAAAAAACCAGACACGCTATAGGATTTAAACGCTTCGTAGTAAAAATGAAGGAAATGAAGAAAAGAAATGGACAGAGCTTACGTATTCGAGCCAGCTTCTTCCGGGAAGAGATCGGAAAGGAGATGCTGATCTGACTTTTCAGTGAACAGGTTAATTCCGTGTTCATTATATCCGGTCCGGGTCTCGCGATTGGATTGAAGCGATAAGCCTATCTGCTTGGCCCATGGAAAGCATGTATAGATAGCAGTCTTCGTTTGCAGAAAAGTGACCCAAACGTGGACCTACATAATGATATTGAATTGACCCTTTTGCAAAGTGGACTTTAAATTCATTCTTTCTGTCACCATTGACCATTAATGCTGGTCCAACATACGGAAAACACCCATAAATATTGAGAGAATTCCCTAAATACGTTTTGAATTTAGGGAATAAAAATCATGATACTCCTATTTTGGAATTATTTTTTATTCCCTAAATAGGAGTAAATTTATGACATGTTTGGAATTATAAGGCTTTAAACATGGCATTTTTTTCTAAACTTGGCAGATTACTCCTATTTAGGGAATAAAAATCATGATACTCCTATTTTGGAATTTCAAAACGTTTTTACTCCTATTTAGGGTAATTTCTGATAAATATTTACTCCCTCCCTAATATTCATATCTTCCCACTTTTATTTTTTTGATGTAACATTTATATCTTTCCATTTCTAAATCTTCCTATCATACCTTCAATAATTTAAAAATTAATACACTACTACACCTACTTTTTTTGGATTTATCCTTCATTCCATTACATTATTTCACCATTTTCCCATCATACCCTCAATAATTCATACCTCATTTCATTGTTCTTAATCTCACCCACTTTGGAAGTGGGAAGATATATGTGATAAGGAGGGAGTATCAAATACTAGTATTTAAGATGTTTTCAAATGGGACGTTTTTGGATGTTTTCTTTCGGACTGAAATTTGCTGGTCTGGTCTGGTCTGATCTGGTCTAATTTGTTCTGCTTTGGTTTGGTAAACGTCAGGTCTCTGTGTATTTTATAACTACAGAAGTCTGATCTGGTCTGGTCTGATCTGGTTTGGTCTGGAACTGAAAACAGTCCAAAAGAAAACATCCTTTCTCGTTGATCTATAACTAATTCGAAATGAAACGGAAGAAATTCTCTATTTTTCTTTTAGACTATCCCATTAAAATTGTTTTATACGGATTACTACATATCAAATTTGGTAAAATTTATGTGATTATATATCATTCTTACTTTATCAATGTAATATTAATCTACATAAACTCATTTTTTTGCAACTGTGCGACTTTTCATATTTCAATGTTCATGAGACGGATGTAGTATTTACTATGGAGTACAATAAGTATAAGAGATCCAGTCAAAAATATATAAAAAATCGTGGAAAAGTATGAAAGACAATATGAAAACTATAAAATGTAATTGAATATGTTTAAAAGGAAAAGTTGTAAAAAGGAATAGGGTACCCAAAAAAATAAAATATAACTAAAAAAGGAAAAGTGTAACAAACTACTCGTAGAAAACAAAAAAAATACCGAAGAAAATAAGAAATATAACACATGTGGATGTCCATGAAAGATATGGAATCTTTAAGAATTCCTCACTTTGGTTTTATCTTGGGAAACCTTCCGGCAAAAAAACCAACCAAACAAAATCCCTAAAGCTCCACTATAGAGGGCATGAACCTCTTTGTCAAGTCTATGTATTCCCCAACCGATTCTATGTATTTAGGATTCATACTCGAGTCCACCAAGCTGATACACACACACACGACACAATCAAATATTGAATTGACTCTATAATGTTTGGATGCTTTAACCTAATTAATCAATTTCAAAGAATAAAAAACATGAATTTTTGTCTAAAATAGTTTTGATATTTATCTTCTTTTTGTTCAATGCTAAATTCAATAGATGTAAAGTAGTTGGCTATGTTACAGGTTAACTCCTCTATATAAAATTTGAAGGGGGGAAAGACATCACTCCAATATGCAAATAGGCGTTTGGACAAAGAAGATTATAGTGTACAATTGAGGTCACAAGTAAGAGTACTTATCAAGTCAAGCTCCTCCTACACAATAATGTCTTCAAATTATGCATCTCAGTGCATCGTTGCTACTAACATTGATCCATCAACTCCACCTCACCTTCATCAATGATGAAACTCCCACACTCTAGACCATAGGACTCACCTGTTGATTTATAGTGCAAGAAAACAGCTTGATTATTTTGACTTTTTCCACTACTTTTATCAATAAAATAACTTTCCTCAAACTATTACTTTTCACCAAGCATTACAACCCAATAAATATTTAGTTGTTTCTCCTAGGAACACATTTTTGTTTCTTTTTTATATGAATCTTATCCTATTATTATGATTATTATAGTCATTTTTGCTTTATTTACCTCATACAATCCAAGCTACAAACATTTTATTCGCAGTTTGTTTATCAATTTCTAACAAATTATGTATACGAATAATTTAATTAAACTACCCATGCATTTACTCAACCTATCCTGATGAAGTAATATGCCTACAATGTCCTTGTGCATTTACACGAGCGCGCATCACACGTTGCTAAACTAATTTTTATATATGCAACATTGATGCGGGCCCAATCCTGATATGTTATGGCCCCAAGATGGTACAAATAGAGTGGGCCTTAAGAGTGACGTGTCAATGTTTATATTTTTTTATAAAAAAAAACTATACGTAAAATTGAGCAATTTTGTTATCTAAATCTGAGTATAACACATCAATGAAATTAATAAATGAGACGGTTTGAAAGATTATATTTAAATATTTGATAAGCGACATTCAAGAATATTGTGTACTTAAACCGGTTGAATGGAAAAGTAGTACAATTGTTACTTGCTATAAAAAAATGAACTTGGGAAACATATGCGTGCAAAAGTTATATGTTATATGAAATAACGTTTTCATATTTCAAATTACATTTTTTATGCTAGACTAAAATAGACCGCAAATTTCTAAATTCTTTTACTTATACGAGAGAATCAAAGAAATTAGAAAAATACTACGTAGTATCAATTAATCATGGATTTACACGAGAGAAGTAGATGGAAAGCTTAGTCTCTTAATGAATCAAAACAAATGGTGAAGTTTGTTCCCATGGAATTCTGGTGTGGATATTTAATTTCAAAATTTTAAACTTGTAACTTGTAGAAGTTAAATAATGGATTGAAGGTATAAAAAATACAATTTTTTTTAAAAAAATTATAGATATATAAGGTATATACAATTAAAATAAATGTCTGCATATATATATATATTATAAAAATTTATGAATTTTATATTTTTTGTAACGATCGGAATACAAATAAAAAAGTTATATCACTTGAAAAAATAGATGCTTTTAAAGTGTTAAGATTTTTATTTATATATTCACCAGAATAATTTTTCTCACTCCTTCTTCCATAGCCGCCGCCGCCTCCGCGGCCCAGCGGCCGACCCAGAAACTTCACCGGGGGGGGGGGGGGATATTTTAAACAAAATAATTGTAGGCGTTCATTATTATAACTTTTATTACAGTATATAAAATGAAGCATTAAAATAGTACACAATAGACAAAAAATAGAAGATGAGATAAATATATTATTACAAAAAAGTAAAGTTAGTACCTTAAAATTGTATGTGACGTTCTTTCAAAGAGATAAATTCCTCAATCACAAATTTTGAATCACAAGTTTTATCAATTTCTCTTTCAATATAAACAAACGAGGTTGTCTACAAGATACTCGTCCTCCATTGTATTGCGAAGCTTTGTTTTTATAATTTTCATTGCTGAAAAAAGCCTTATTTTTGTTGTTGCATAGAGTCAACAAAAGTCGAATCAATCATGTCAATGAGAAAGTACATTGCTGACATATCGGGACTATGTATTAAACAAGATATATATGCACATATGAAGTGAAAATAAAACTTCATTCCCCATACAATTTGTTCTAGTTCAACATTCACACACAAAATAGTCAATATAATACGTTACACCGTAACATATGATCTAGTACTACCATCACATAAAAACTTCAACATATGTTCACGCACACAATCACTGAAAACACAGTCAATGTTCAAATAAAAATCAAATGTTCCACACAACAAATTCACGTTAGGCTGCATTCAACCTCTTTGGTTTTATTGTCTTCACAAATTCTTTTGCTATCTTTACGTTTTCTTGCATAAGCTCGTTGTTGTCATTTAGGCTTTGTTTGCAACCACTTAAGAAAAGTGATTTTGGTTTTTTTTTTTTTAAGAAAAAAACACTTATTTTACCAAACACTACCAACTTTTACTTTCTCGGCTTCCATGTAGAATCTACTTTTTACTTTTTCTATTACACAAAAAACACTTATTTTACCAAACACTACCAACTTTTACTACTAACCACTTTTTATCAAAAAGTGCTTTTATTTAAGCACAAGTGGTTGCAAACAAAGCCTTAGTAAAATGGCAGCAACGTACTTTATTCTCAGTGCACCAACTTCTTTGTTTCCCTCTTTGTTTAGTCCTATATTCCAACCTAGAAACCCTTCCCCCGATATGTTTCCATGTGCCGCATTGCGAAGATCCCATTATCGTACACATCTTTCGACGCTCTCCATGACATAGGTAATCTGTCTCCAGTCAAATTGTGCACCATGTTTGCTTTATGCTTCATTTTCTTTGACTCTAAGTACTTGACAAACATTTTAACCTGCAACGAAGTATTAATATTGTTTGCATTAAATGAATCCCACTCATATTGATTCTACATGGACTATTAACATTAAATTACATATATAACTAAAATCAGGTTTTATTACCACTTTCTCGGGCATTTCTCCATAATTGTTTTCATTTGATGCTCTTGCTTATGAGCTGTCAAGGATATCTACACGCTTAAGCTTCGTATTGACACATATGACATATACGTGATGAATCTGCATGATTGAAAAAAAGAATTGCACCATATTTTCATGTTAGTAATTATACATATACAACATCGTACAATCAATTTCTTACGACATTTACGACATCAATATGGTTATTCAAATAACCATATGTATTATTAGTGTCCATCCAAAATCAACCGTTGCTTCAAATATATAGTTTGTATGCATCTGAAGCATTTTAAACCCATATCGGCCTGTGTATCAAGCTCTATATCAATTCAGTTGCATCATTATCAAATATAATAAC